CCTACTGAACAATATCCATATAGTATCTAGACATGAGTGCATGTGTATACCTGAAGGCTATAAAACAAACAACACAGTGCCAGGCAGGAGAAACCTCCCTTCAAGGTGTTGGTCAGGGTAGTCCAAGAGACTTCCAGAATAACACAGGATATTGCCACAGCCTTTGATTACCTCCCAGAACTTGAAGGCAAACCCTGTTGCTGAAGACAGGACATACTTCAGACATAAGACTTGGAGCAATGGAGCTGGAACTGAACTGGAATCCTTCTCCCTGAAGACTTGCTCTCATATTTCTAGATGATACTATGCAAACTGCTAAGGGAGAAAAATCAGTCAGTGGTCCAACCTAGATATAAAGCCCAATAACCATGACTGGCACAGTGAACTATCTCTATTGGTGCATTAGTGTCACTTTTTTTAAGGCCAAAAATTTGCATGCTGTTTTATTGTATGTTACAGCTAGTGTATGTAAAATAGTTATAACCTTGCAAAACAGAAATCCATGAAAATCCAGAGAGATAGCTGTTAAGAACTGACAAGTAGAAGATTGTGTATTATGGCACATGTGTTACAGGGACGCTTTTGTGCAGGCTTCAAATTTAGTTCTTTTGAATATTCACTGGTTCATGAAAAGTGGCTTAACAAACCTTTGAAAGATTGGACTACAAAAAAAGCAGACTTTCTGGGGTCTGAAGGGATTTGTGCTTGAAGACACTCCAGTCAACAGAGGGTCATGTTGAGCATTCTGCAGACAGAACTGTTTCAAGTCTGCAGCTGCCTGGGAAATCTTCACGCAGTTGAGGCTGACCTCCAGTTGGAGCTGCTGAACTACCTTTTTCATGGTGGTGATGCTGGAGGAACCCGACATGGCACATTTGAGAGCCAGGCCGAGCCGTCTGTCTGTCCATGCAAGGGGCAGCAGGTCGCAGTGGCCTAGTGTCACTTTTATCTAGCTATCTAATTGGACCTAAAGTCCTTTCAATAGTAGGGAACTCATGGATGGCACTGTAAATATAGCCAAATATACATGGCTGGAGAAGGCATAGATACCAGAGAAAACCCTATCTCTGAGATATCTCTAGACAAATGAATTTTCTTAATGTATGCTAAGTATGGATTCTTATATTTACAGACAAGTACACCATACACCACTTATCAAAGAAACTTCTTTTTGCAACAGATGGAAGCTGTTACATAGTTCCACAACTGGTCACACACAGAGAACATATGTCTGAGAGATGCCCAGCCCTAAGTGACACATTTATAGTGGAACCTTTATAGCCAAGGCTCATGGAACATAGTGGAACGGGGGATAGAGAGAATACTAACACAGCCTTCAACCCTCACTAGTGAAGCTTCCTCATACAACAGAGTGCCATGCACAAAGAAGACCACAACTGGCCAAGATTTAGAGAATAAGAGACTGCAGAGCACATGTCCCTGGATAGGACTTCTGTATTAAACCTCACCCACCCATGGTTCAAGGACTATTAAGGAAAACTGGGCAGAAAGATTGTAAGAGCCAGGATTGGTGCATGAACATAAGGAAACAGACTTTCAGGCCTCTGGGAACTTGTTCATATGAACTTGCAGCAATGGTGACAACATGTACAAGGCCTGTGCTCAATCAGACAAAAACCCAGCATAGAACAGGGGAAATGGGCAACCTTAGCTGAGGAACTATTGGCAGATGATTACTGTGGGGTAAGAGAGGGTTGTTTTTTTTTATGTGACTGACTATAGATATGCTGATCAAACTCCAGTGGATGAACTTGCACAGAGGTTTCTGCGTACAAATACTTTACCGGATAGGCCTTAACATATATAACAGAATACATGATATCCGGTGTTGGGGGCTAGAGCAGGATGCAGATCAGAGGGTGTCTAAATTTATTGATATATTATGTGAAATGCACAGACTCAATAAAGATATACATAAAAAGATGTTTTGAATGAAATGCATAAAAATTCAATAAAAAAATACACAAAACATAAAAGAAAAAGAATCAGTATTAGGATTAGGGATAACATTAATATCAGTGTTAGTATTAGGTTTTGGGTTAGAGCCTAGGGTTAGTTGTAGGATTAGTGTTAGTGTTAGGGTTAGTTATATGTCTAAGGCAAGGGGCATAACTAGACTGAGGGCTAGAATACACTTATGTTAAGATGAGGGTTAGAGTTAGCACTATGGTTTGGTCTAATAATATGATTAGGCCTGGTCCCAGCATCTTCCCTGGGTAAGTCCAGTTGACTCCCCCAGCATCTTTCACCCTCCCAGCTCCCCTGCTGAGTCTCTCCTCCTAGGCTGGGTACAGGCCCATTTCTTGTCTTGGCACCCCAGACACTGGGGCCAACCTCTTGGCCAAGAGCCATCACTGCTTCCTGATCCTCTGCATCTGGACCAACTCAGTTCCTCCCTACCGTCCCCAGGAACTCTCTGGGCCTGGTCCTGCCCTCACCTCCCTTTACTTCTCTGGGCTGCACAGCCTCTGAGCGGCCTGGTGCCAGCACATTTTCTGGTCCCCAGGAGCCCTCTGGACCAGGTCCAGCTCTCATATCCCTTTGCTTCCTGGGCTGCACAGCCTCCAGTGTCCTGGTACCAGCACCTTCCCTGGGTAAGTCCAGCGTGCCCAGCGCGCCTTGACTCACCCAGCCTCTTTCACTACCCCCTCCCCCCAGACACTGGGGCTAATCTCTGGACCCAGAGCCACCATTGCTTCCTGATCCTTTGCATCGGGACCAACCCATTTCCTCCCTGCGGCCCCCAGGAACACTCTAGGCCTGATCCCACCCTCACCTACCTTTACTTCCCTGGGTGGTGCAGCCACCAGCTTCCTGAGACCAGCATCTATCCTGGGCCCTTCTCCCAGGCCAGCCCAGCCCCCAAATTCTTGAGGGCAGCGTCTTTCCTGGAGGGACCCAGACCTTAGGAGAAAGCCTGATATCATTTGAGCCTCACTTGGGCCTCTGTGGGAACTCCTGAAGACAAAAGCAATTAGGCCACTCCAACATAAAATCAAAAGAGAGAACCTGAAGCCTAGACCAACCAGCTTTTTATGCCCAACAAGTAAACCACAAAGGCACATTAAGCTTACAAAAAGAAGCAGATCTGAACTCAACAAAGGAAGGCTTGAGTCTCACACAAGAATCAGAAACTATGAAGGAATTCACATGTCAAAGTCACAAAGAAAAAACAATAACAAGAGAAACCAAAATAATTTATACCCACCAAGTACAACAGTAGTCCTCTTGAGGAGCACAATAAGAACCCCCTAGAGACAACGCAGGACATGGAACTCAAAAGAACAATGATGAATATGATAAAAGAATTCAGTGAATTTAAAGAACATACAAAAAAGGTAATCATAGAGCTGAAGGAAGATAGGGATAAACTTCTGAATGAATTCAGAAAAGAAGTAGAAATATTG